CAGGGTCCTTCCTCAAGTCCTGGCAAACACAGGGCTATTTTCAGAACTGTGATTTCACCAAACATTTTGTCTACTTACATAGTTTGACTTTTCAGAACTTTTAAAAACACAAACTCTGAGCCAAAGATGGGTCTTTTTAAAGCTGTGATCTTCTAATCTCAGGGCGTGCATTGGGAAGGCAGCCTACAAGGATGTTAGAAGGCAGGCAATGGAAGATCCCACTTAGGGTCATGTAACCATCGCATGATAACCCAGACTCCTGTAGGCCCAGCCTTAGGAAACCATGGCATCCTATGCTACCATGGCTCAAGATTGGGGCAAAAAACCAAGAAAAATATATATGATCAGCCACGTAAAAATTTAGGGGCCATGTTTACCAGATTTCGTTTTTTTTTTTTTTTTTTTTTTTTAGGTGATTTGTAATCAGGCAGTTTCTGAAGCCTTAAAGAATGGTCATTGTATTAGTTTTCCTATTGCTGATGGAACACATTACCACAAACTTAGTGGTTTAAAACACTACAAATTTATCTTACAGTTCTGGAGGTCAGAAGTCTGAAATGGGTCTGGGCTGAAATCGAGGAGTTGGCAGGGCTTCGTTCTTTGAAGGCTCTCAGGGAGAATCCATTTCCGTGTCTTTTTAAGCTTCCAGAGGTCTCCTGCTTCCCTTGGCTGGAGGCCCCCTCTGTCTTCAAAACCTACAAGCCTATTGAGTCTTTCTTTGCATCACTCTGAGCCTGCCTCTCCTGCCTCCCTCTTTCAGATAATCCAGATTTTATCTCCCTATCTCAAGATCCTTAATTTATTTATATCTGCAAACTCCCTCTTGCCTTTGTAAGGTAACATATTCACAGGTTCTGCGGATGCGGATGTGAAAATCTTTGGGTGGGTGGAAGGGGCATTTTCCTGCCTAAAACAATCATTATTTTTAGAGTAACATGCATTTTTCAGGTGATGAACTTTTTAATAGACTAATTCAGTGCCATAAACAACTGCTGTTTGTACAGTAGACTGTGCTGGAAAATAGTAAGGCTGAAATTTCCTTCACTCATGGAATGATAACAATGTAGAAAAATAAATTTGCCACACCTTGCATTAATATTTGGTCAGCCTCCAATCTGACCAGGCTCTAACTCCACTGCCTCACAGTGATCCCTGTTTTCAGGATGTTGATCCCAGGAATAGCACCGAGTTGGCATAGCGTAAACACACGTGGAGAGCAGGAGACACCATCCCTGCACTGGGAAGCATTGAGCAAAATGAAATGCAGTGCTGAGACCAGACTAGGGTGACCCATATGTACCTTCCTTGCAAATTCAACAGAGTTAGATGCCTAAAGCCAACAGAACCTCACCCCATGCCTTGCTGCAACCTCAAGGCTGGTTTTGTTCTGCCCACATACAGCTGAATTCCGCTCTCCCTTTCTCAAATGTGCTCCTTCCCCCATATTCCTACTTAGTGCTGGCACCAGCGACCGGAAAGTGTTCCCTGTCATCCTTGACTCTTCCTTCTCTGTCATGTATGACATCTGGTTGTTCTCCAAGACCTGTGGCAGCTACTCTCTCCAGAGCGTTAGAATCTGCCCTACCATGGCCCTAATTCAGTTTCCCTTCTCTTCTTGCCTGGATGACTATATCAGCCTCAGAACTCGTTTTCCACTTCACTGTGATTTTCTCCCTCCCATCAATCCACTCTCCAAAATACTGCCAGAGTCATCTTTCCAAATTATAAATATGATCATGCTACTTCCTTGTTTAGGAAAGTGCTTCTGTTTTGCCTTCTGGATCGATTCCACTCTTAGACCTGCTAGTCTCTGCCCCAGCCTACTTTTCCAGCGTATTCTCTCCCCTTCTCGCCTGCTGCTCTTCATTCCAGCTGTAATGAACTCTTGAAGTTTTTCAGATGCTCCCTCAGCCTGGAATGCCCGTGGCTGCCTAGGCCAGCTGTCTCTCAAGATTCAGCCCAGTGTCACTTCTGGGACCACATCTATGCCCTTCAGCCAACTCTCTTTTTTTCATTGAGCTCCAGTATGCCTTTCCCATATTGCACTCTGATCCTCTTTTTATTTATATCTAGGCCCCCTGAAGGCAGGGACCCTCCTGTTTGGTTTAACTTTATAGATACCCCGCGCCAAGCACAGGGCCTGGCACATTATAGATGCTCAGCCACTCTTTGTTTAAGGAATGAAAACTTCCCCAGCACAGGTCCTAAGGTATCCTGATGTTTCCCTGCACTAGGGATGACCCAGCTCAGGGCTAGTTCCAAAACCTACCCAGTTCAGACTTGTATGCCTAGAGTTCAGCCAGAGCCCAGATAGCATCTGAGGAACGAGGGTGGGGTAAGTTGACCAGGAGCTCTTTTTGCTCTATTCTCTTTCTTGCTGCTGGGAAAGATAGTCCCTGCAACTATGACCTTATCCTCTTCAACCTGGCCTAACCTGGGGGCACAGATCATTCAACAGCAACTCAAAGGGAGTTGGCCACCTAAGGTACAAACTGCCCTGGTGGGAAGGTGTAGCACACAGCCAACTTGACACACACAATGTGGTAATGACAGTCTGTTAAGTCAGTAGTATTTCAGGACATGCATTAATCACTGTTGCCTGCCCTAAGCGACCCATAGCAGTTATGCAAAGTCTCCTGCATGCAGATTGTCTTGGAGCTCTCTAGAAGCAGGCACCATGAGGAGTTAAAAATAAAGCAGAAGGAGAGTTCCTATACTTGGGAGGCAATCTAGGCCTAAAACGTGGGGCTTGCCTTTATTGGGGCTTTTGGCTACATTTAAGGGAGGAGATGGTAAGAAAAAATGTCTTACAATACTTTTTAATCATTCATGTATAACCATAGTGATTTAAGCAAGTGACAGGAGGCAGTTTGGAGGGTGCATATGCATTGGAGGAGGGACCACATGCATTATGTAGCAGAGAGCTATTTTTTTTCTCTGAGCTAGTCGTCACTTCTGTCGGCTTTGAAAATCCCCTTGGTACTGACCCCATGACATGCCTTTCCACTAAATTTTAGGCCTTTCCAACAGTACGACCCCAGTAAAGATCTTGGAATCCTTCCAAAACACTATATATGGAATCTAAGAGGTTTCTTTATAATGGAGGAAAAGCATCATGGACTGTGGTTGGTTTGTATCAAGGATTTTGAAATAAGGGCTTTTAGAGGTTAAAGAAAATAGTTTGCAAGTGAATTACTTGAAAATGTAACATAAATATTTAAGCTTTTATTAATACTACATACCATTTTGACAAGCAAGAATTAAGTTATTTATTTTTATTAGCAGGTGCTGACATTGTATCTTAAGCTATTTTTAGAAAGGAAAATTATTCTGAAATCTATATTAAACATAGCATAGGGCTCTGGTCTTTGATTAACATGAGATGCTTTTGTGACATATTTAAGTCTATTTAGCACCCCAGAGACTCTTTAGTCAAACTGTTAACTACCCTGTAGAATCAAGAGAATTTTTTTTTTTAAAAAAAAGCTTTAAATATTAGAGATTTCAAATAGTCTCTGGTTTCTTAATGACAATTTCTTTTCTAATTTCATATATATATCCATCTAAACCATGGTAGAAAGATACAGATCTGTCACCAAGACATGTCATATTATCCTCAATATTATAGCAGTGACATCTATGCTTATTAGTAAACTACTATTAAACAATTATTACCAATAAATCCTTAAGCATCAATAATGCATTAAGAAGCCAGGTATGGTGGCTCACTCCTTCTTTAATTCTAGCACTCTGGGAGGCCAAGGCAGGAGCATCACTTAAGGTCAGGAGTTTGAGACCAGCTTGAGCAATGGTGAGACCCCATCTCTATCAAAAATAGAAACAATTAGCCAGGTGTGGTAATGCATGCCTGTAGACCCAGCTATTCAAAAGGCTGAGGCAGGAGGATCATTTGAATCCAGAAGTTTGAGGTTGCAGTGAGCTATGATGACACCACTGCACTCTACCCAGGGCAACAGAGCAAGATTCTGTCTCAAAAAAAGCATTACAAATAGACAAAACGGTAAAATCAATTCCAGTGAGTATTAGTATATATTAAACTGGACAATATCATAACCTGCTAGAGATAACCTGCAAATTTTTACAACTCACTAAGGATAATAACATTGAGATTAACATTTGTATATCTATTAAATTTCAAAGTACTCTCAAATAGATACAATCTTCTGAGACTCATAACCACTCTGTGAGACTGGTATATTAAACTGTATGATCATCTGAATTTTACAGAGGAAACAAGTTTAGCCAGGTTAAGTGGCTTGCCCTGAATCCCACAGCCAGTGTTAGACAGAGCCAGGGCCTAACCCCAGCTTGAGCTCACCCACTTTATGATGTGTGCTTATAATCCTGTCATGATTGGCTCCTGTCCTTTGCTTTTCATTAAAGAACCAATGAAAGTACAGGAAAGGGAGAATGAAAGTTTGTTAAAGACAATACATAAACTATTGTTGTTCTCTGAAGAATTACCCAACAATGTGATTCCTAAATGCTTTAAATTTCAGAATATGTAAGTCTGTAGTCACCACTAAAATCTTGAACAGTGTTTTCTGTAGAATATATTAAGATAAACATAATGTTTAGATGGTCCATTTACTTCTTTAAAAAATAAAATATAATAATCGGAAAAAAGGCCTATTTAAAGATAGGTAATTGGTCGGGCGAGGTGGCTCACACCTGTAATTCTCACACTCTGGGAGGCCAAGTGGGAGTATTGCTTGAGGTTAGGATTTTGAGACCAGCATGAGCAAGAGCTAGACCCCATTTCAACTAAAAATAGAAAAATTAGCCAGCTGTTGTGGGGGGTGCCTGTAGTCCCAGCTACTCAGGAGGCAGAGTCAGGAGAATCCCTTGAGCCCGGGAGTTTGAGGTTGCAGTGAGCCATGATGATGCCACTGCACTCTACCCAGGGTGACAGAGTGAGACCCTGTCAAACAAAGAAAAGAAAGAGAGAAAGAGAAAGAAAGAAAAGAAAAGCAAGGCAATTATACATATAGTTTCATTTTGGTAAAGAAACCAGGTAGTGTATGAACATTTTTTTTTAAAGGCAAAACCAGGGCCATCTTTAAAATACTATAATGAGAGGGAAAGCAGGCTGGCAAAGACTTGAGCAAAATGTGCAGGGCTGGTGCTGGCTGCAGGAGATCCCTGGTGGGAGGCTGTGGGCCCCAACTCAGGGAACCAATGGGTGCCGCAGGTCTTCTGCTCTACGTAAATCTGCTGTCCCATGTGTCAAAGGTCTGATCCAGCACAGCTTTAAAAGAGGGGGCAAGAGAGGAAAGGGGAGCACAAAGGAGAATAAGGGCCAAAGGGTAGAAGCTCCGCTCAACTGAAATTCAAACTAGACAGCAGCAGGTCAGTCAGGTATTTTTTATTGAAAGTTCACAAGTAGCTTACCTGTTCCAGCTTGGGTTTCTGGCCAATAGTTTTGTCAATGTGAAGTGTTTTAAAAGAACACAAACTAATCTCAAACCCAAGTCTTGGATCAAAATATCATCATTTAACCCTGTAAAGAGGAAGAAAAATATATTTAAAAGCTTCAAATATGAGTAATTTTAAGAAGCAGGGGCTCTGGTCTCTTGCCCAGTCAATAAGACATTAAGACAACAGTTCTGATTGTGTAGAGGGAAACATCATGCCGGGGTGGGGAACCTGTGGCCTTGGGGTCACATGTGGACTTCTGGATCCTTGAGTGCAGCCTTTTGACTGAATCCAAATTTTACCGAACAAATCCTTTTAATAAAGAAAGGGATTTGTTCTGTGAAGTTTGGAATCGGTTGAGGGATCTGGAGGGCCACATGTCACCTTGAGGCTGCAGGTTCCCCAACCCTGGGGCTTCTGTAAACGTGGTCTGAGGTCTGGTGACAGCAACACCACTGGCAGCTTGTTAAGATGCAAATTCAGGCCTAACCCTTAGCTACCAGAATGAGAATCACTGAGGGTGGGGCACAGCAGTTTGTTTTAACAAGGTTGTCCTATGCACTAAAGTTTGCAAAGTGCTGATTTAGATCTTTATTTGTCAAACAGCAGATTACAACTCATTAGTGGGTTGTGAAATCAATTCAGTGGGCAGTGACCAGCATTTTACAAAAGTGAAATAGCATAGAAAATGAAGTGCATTCCATGTGACATGGGTATTATCCCACTAAACTTGTTTCAGTTCTACATATGTGTTCACCCATGTGTACTCATTTGGATGAAGTAACACTTTTAATTTTTGAAGAACTGCTAGGGTTATAATAAAGCAGCTACAAATTTTAAATGAAGTCAGAACTGGTTGGTTGACAATAAAACACAATGACAGCTTCCTGTGGATTATTACTGTTTGGAGAGAGAGGAGAGCATTGAGGAGAGAGGGAAGAGGGACAAGGAAAGAACATAGAAAGCCACAGTTTTATCACCAGCATCTTCGTGGGGAAAGAAACAAAATAGGCTACTAGAGAGGAGATGGAAGGGGCACGCACCACAAGAGAGATGCCAAGGAGAATAAGAACACGGTAAGTTCATGAGTTACCTTCAAGAGAGAACCATTTTAATATGACTGCTAAAGATCTATGCATTCACTCAATCATCGACTCACAGAACACTGATTGTACCATCATAGGTGCCAGGTACTGTGTTACACGGTGGAGGCACCAAGTTGATCATGGAGCCAGTTGTTTACTGACAAGCAAGAAGTCTAATAACGATAACAACGTGATCAGTGCCATGAAGGAGGTATTATATAGCAATGAGTGGGAACACTGAAGCCAGTCTGTGATGATGGGGTAGGGAGGAAGGTCGTGACAGGGGACACCTGTAAGGAGATAAAAAAAAAATGATGACCACATTTTAACATGATATTCCATATGGTGGCAATGAGTACCTTTGTTTTTCCATTTATGTGTGTATGTGTACACACAAACATATATACACACTGCATATAAATGTCTTTATATCTCTGTTCTTCACTCCTTTGTTTAAAAACTTGATGCCCATATTTTTTGAAAGAGTGATGAAAAATCATTACATAAGTGACTCATTACAAATATGGAAAAAAAAACCCGAAGTATTTATTTCTGTAGTTTGTATAAAACACCACTTGCTATTCCTTTCAGGTAGGTGGCTCTTCAGACAATGGGAGGGTCAGAGCGGGCTGTTTCCACGTTCTGCTGTCAAGATACTACACTACACGTAGGAACGCACTGAGAATTTTATTAAATTACATCCTGGAGAAATTACAGAATCTTAAAGGTGCAGGTGCCCTAGGATTTAATATAAACATTCCAGGTGAGGAAACTAAAGTCCAAAAAGGAAAAATAATTTGTTTACTACACATAATTTAGTTTGGTGTTGGGCGTAGATCCAGGTCTTCCGAGTAGGTGCAGCCTTCTCCGCACCGCGGTTTTTGCCCCGCCGCTGAGGTCGGGCTGGCTTAGCCTGAGCTCCTCCAACGCCGCACTTCCTCCCAGGTTGGAGTGTTTCACGGGGTAAGTCTAATTCACAAAGTTGGCTTTCGAGCTTTTTTTTTTTTTTTAAATCAGAGTAACACCAACGAGGAGGGGAACACCCACTGACACCAAATGGCTCTAGACACCTCCCCACCGGGAAAAGCAGAAGGAGACACACGCTCTCCGCCAGCGTCCGCTAGCCACGTGCGGGAGGAGGGGCCGCCTTCTGGTTGGCGCCCCGGGGGGCTCTGTCCCTCCAATCGGCATAGGCCCCGCGGTGGGGGCGCGGGGCACGCTCCGGGAGGGGGGCGGGGCCGTCGACCTGTCCATCACCGAGTCCGCGGGTGGCAGCACCTACTACCCCGCCGTACCTTGTCCAGGCGGGGCCCGGGCGGGCAGGCCGCGGCCGGGGGAGGCGGGGCCAGGTCCGCGGGAGCCAATCCGCCGGGCGGCGCGAGGGGGCGGGGGCGGGGTCGCCGCGCGCGACCCAAACACACGGGCCCAGGCGCACCCTGGAGCCGCGCTGCTCCTCGGCCTTCCGGTGCTGGGGCCCGGGAATCTCCTCCCCTGTCAGACACCCCCCTCCTCCGTAGCCCAGCTCCCCCTGCCCCTCCCTCACGGGGACAGCGAGGCGACGGTTGCCGGGAAGCGTGCGCCGCCCCTCCCTCCCCTTCCCAGTCCTCCCCTCACGCGCCACCCGTTTTTCCTCTTTCTCCGTTAATAACAGCTGGGTGGCTGGGGGCGGGGGGAAGGTGGCACCGGCGGAGTCTGGGCGGGCGCCTCCCACTCACCCGCGAGCCGCCGTGGGAGCTAGAGGATGGCGGCGGTAGCGGCGGCCACCCGGGAGGAGGCGGTGCCGAGGCCCCGGGCGCAGAGCGCGGCGGCAGAGAGCGGCAGCGGCCCGTCGTCGGGCACCAGAACCGAAACCAGCGGCAGCCGCACAGCCACCTGAGCCACCCCTTCCCGCCGGAGCCAGCGAGCCGCGCCCGCAGTTGGGCCCTCTTTCCTCTCCGCCTCTCCTCGTCTCTCGCGCCCCCGTCAGGCCGCCGGCCTTTCCCGCCGCCCCCGAGAAGAAGAGCTCGCCGGGCGCCGACCGCCCCTCGGGGCGCCTGGCGGCGGCCCTGGACGTGCGGGGGCCTTTCTGGGCCGGCCGCGGCGCCTCGGCCCTGCCCTTTCGCTCCTGCGCTCGCTCCCGCCCTCCCCGCGCTCGGAGCGCTGCGCGCGGGCCCGGCCCGGGGCAGGGCGGACATGGGCGCCAAGCAGAGCGGCCCGGCCGCTGCTAACGGCCGCACCCGCGCGTACTCGGGCTCGGATCTACCTTCCAGCAGCAGCGGAGGGGCCAACGGGACCGCAGGCGGCGGCGGCGGGGCTCGGGCCGCGGCCGCTGGGAGGTTTCCGGCTCAGGTGCCCGGCGCGCAGCAGCCCAGCGCCTCAGGCGGCGCCGCGGCGGCCTCGGCAGCCCCGGCGGCCCCGCGCAGCCGCTCCCTCGGCGGGGCCGTGGGGAGTGTGGCGTCGGGTGCCCGCGCCGCGCAGTCCTCCTTCAACATCCCCAACAGCAGCAGCGGCCCGTACGGCTCGCAGGACTCGGTGCACAGCAGCCCCGAGGACGGCGGCGGCAGCAGGGACCGGCCGGCGGGCGGGGGCCCCGGCGGGCCGCGCCTGGTGATCGGCTCCTTACCAGCTCACCTCTCGCCGCACATGTTTGGAGGTACGGCCCCCTCCCCGCGCGCCAGGCCCTCCCGCCTGCCTCCCGTGATGGCACGTGGGCCGCGGCCGCCGCTTATTTTTGCCCTTCTCCTTTTCTCCTTCAGCCGGGGCGCCGGGGCTTTGCCGCCCGGCCCGCGCCGGGTCCCACTCCTGGGAGGAAAATCCGCACTGAACCCCTGCGGTGCCGCTACGGCTCAGACGTAGGGTTTTTGTTTTTAAACACCGAGAGCACCCTCACCTCAGTAGCAGCTCCCCAGTATAGAAAGACCCCTTTTTTCCCCAGTGAGGTAAAGGGAGCAAATATTGTTTTAAAACAAATTGACGAAACAGCCCTTGTGGTTGTGGCTTTTAGTACCAGGAAGTCAAGAGGAGACCCGTTGCTAAATGTAGTTCTCTCTGGGAACTCGAGTGGTGAGAGCAATTTTTAAAGGCCGAAAGTCCAAGGGTCTCAGATGAACATTTGAGTATTTGAAAAAGGAGGGCGTTATCATCTCCTTTGGACTTAATTTTAATATAAAGCTGTCATCTGTAAGTGTGCGTCAGTAGTCTCACTTATAACGTACACTTTAATGAGATGAATGTGTTAATGAAAAGCGTGTTTTTAAACCCAGAAAACTACGTTAGATCATAGTTAATGTGAGACCTTAATTTGAACAGAGCGTTTAAAAATTTGAAAACAGTTTCGGAAGGAGAGAAACTTAAAATTGTTACAGCTCTGCTTACAAGGTGCAGTAATTGGCTAGATTCTTTTGAAGAGCATTGTTGACTAGAGTTCAGGAAAAGTCACTGTAAAAAAGGGAAATTTTTGATAGCAAAATGGTTTGCTTTTATGTGGGAACAGGAAGAGTGTACTTGTTCTGAGGAGAGTGAATTCTCCCTCTCCAATTAAGTTTTATGCTGATCTACTTTATTGCAAAACACTTAATAGTAAATGAATCAAGACCACCTTCCCCCCTTTAGGAAAAGAAACAAAAGTATAGAAGGTAAACATTCTCATATCATTGCATTATGTATATGATATTGGAAAAATTTGCAATTGAGCACAAATGTGCAGTGAAAATACCATCCCCTCCATTTTTGTGCCCCCTTTACTCATGCAGTGATAAAGGCAAGAACTTTTGAGTAGGGATTTGGTAAAGTGGAATATTTGGTAGTGTAATTTGTTCTGCTGTTCAGTGTTATCAGCATTCATGCTAACAAAAATAGGAATGTCATGTTTATGTTTTCCTATTTTTAAAAATAATGCTTTGCACATTTAGTATTTAACAGTTCTTGACTTTTAATGAGCTACCTTATTTTAAAATAATTTTTGCTACATGAATAAAAATATTCTTAAAATAGGGCCATCTTTTAAAAATCATTTGTTTTTTGAGAAAAAGAACTATTGGTGTCCTTAATATGATTTGATCACAACAATACAATTGATGATGCTGTAGTCACCATGTTGAGGAATTAAAAAAAGGAAGTTTTCTGAGAATTGGAGATTAGAGCAAGAATAAATGATCAACTGGGTTTTAAAAATACTTGTCTTTTAAAAGTAAATATTTAAAAAATATATGTTTTGATAACTGCTAAATGCAAATTTAGCAAAGCTTGCTAAAGAAGGGAATAGGAAAAAGCTTGACAAGTTAATATACTGATTACTATTTTTATTCATTTTTTTAAGGGATGACAATTCCCTTTGACAAAAATTATATTTGTGTGGGTTTATTGTGTTACAGTGAATACCTTCCATTTAGAGCAAGGGACAAACAGTTGACACCTGTGCTATTAATTCATAGTAAATGAGCAAGTGGAAAAGACCTAATTGCTCATTTATCTTTTTCCTTATCTAAGTTCCTAGATTTGTGCACTCAACATAGTTTTTTTAGTGCTGTTAGAGTTAGGATGACTGAGGCCTAGTAGCAGGACAGTGACACTGTCTAGGGGACTTGTGGTAGCGTTTCTCAACCAGTTTTTCGGAGACAATTGAGTTCTCACATCCTAGGTCATCTATCGTGTGCAATGAACTTTTATCTCCAGTGCGGAACAGTTGTAGTTGTATTCTAGTTCTTTTCTTGTAACATTTGTGAAAACAATCACTCAGATTAATTTTCTGTGTTTGGTAATTCAGTGAGTGAACCTTATTGAGAAAGGCTGGAAAGGATCAGAGAAATTACCTATTTTTATTATATTATGTGATCATATCAAAGTGCCATGACCCTAAATCCTCATTCAGACATGGAGATGGAATACACTTATGTAAAAACCCATTTTCCTAGTGCCTTACTGAGCTTTTTACCTATATTTCAGTAGATGGGTTCATTAGGAAAATTATAGAAGCATGTTTTTCATCATGGTGAGGTTTACGGAGCTAGATGAATCTTATTTTAAAATTTAGAATGGACTCTATTCACATTGACTTAATTTTTTAGTATGTGTTTTGACATTAATGTGTTTATTCAGTTACAAATTGTACGAATGTTTGGGCATATACAAAGTCACTCCATCTGAAAACAGAAAAGGATTATTTATGAATAAAAAATTCTTACTGTAATTTTGTAAAACTGTTTTTGTATTATTAATGTCTTCAAATAAGAAAATATACTGAGATTCAGAATTATTGTCTTGTGAGCTGTCATGTAATTTATAGAAAGTGAAAACTTAGACAGCACCACTTTTTTTTTTCTTTTTTTTCTTTTTTACACTTAGGAGTCTAGCAAGTCAAAATGTTAATAGTTCCCTAATTGCCAGATTGAATGAGGAGGTTTCTGCATTGGTTTTATGTATTGCTCTGTTTTAGATATATATTTAATTTTTTCTAGAAAACTGGAAGAAAGGTGCCTGATCCAGATAGTTCAGTTTGCAGGAATTTCCTAGAATTGAGTTGCTGGACATCAAAATATGATTATTATCTATATAGGAGTTTTTAGGTGAAGTAGATCTTTCCTGTTTTTGTTATTTTCATAGTGGTGAGTAATAATGTTAAAGTGAACAGAAGCCTTATGTTGACTACTGCTAATATGTCTGTCACCTTTCTTTAAGGGTATAGTCTAATATTTTAAAAAAGCCTTGCTGATGTCTTAGGATTTGTTTGGCCTTATTTTATGTCTTTTTTTTTTTTTCTATCAAGTTGCTGACTTTCATGAAAGCAATTAATATGGATGGTAAAAGATACTTCACTGATGTAGCAAGGGTACAGGAAGTGAATTGGACTATAAGAATATACCAATGAATGGAGAGTATTTCTGGCGAAATCATGAAGACTTTTATAATGTATCCATGAGTTTGGAAGTGAAAATGTAAAATGATTTAATTTAAGACAATCGGTGGTACTGGGTTGCTCTTGGCCTCTTAATTGTCATGAACTTGTTTAGGTGTGGTCTGCTCATGAGTGTTTCAGTAGACTGATTGTAATTTAAGTGCCTCCTGTTACTTATGAAAAGTGATTCCTTTTAGGAAGGAGTTTAGGTTATCTCTTAAAACTGAATATGTTAAATAAGACCTGTATTTCTAAGAATTATTTCTTTTAATTTTCAAGACAGATTAAGAGTTTTTATGGTATTAGGTTATCTCTATTAACCGTTATTGAATTGTTCTCAATCATTACTTTTAACTGGTAACAAGTGCCAAAATCTTTGAATTTGGGGTATTGTAATTAATCCTCTTCCTTTTCCTATTTGTTCTTTTGTTCAATTGAAGATTTTTATAGGGAGTGTCAGAAGAGAAATGTCTGCTATTTTTCTAAGAAAAATGACACTTCTAATCACCACCCTTGCCACCTCTGAAAAAATAAGAATTTTCATTCATGTTTCTCACTTGTAATCCCAAATATTTTTATACACTATAGGAGATGCCTTATGTTGTATGCTATGCTATACTGAAGTATGCCCTCTTTAATTGAAGTTTCAGCTTTGGGAAATTTTTTGAAAGTATTCTTGACAAGGTGGAATGTGGGCTGGAGGCAGGAGTGGTATGAGTTGCACAGGGCATCATCCCATCCTGAGAGCAGCATGACCTGAGTACCTGGTACTTTGATGTTGTGCTGGCTGCCATAATGCCTGAGGGAGTAAGAGCTCTGTTGTCCTGCTAACACAAAGTGTCTCCAGCAAGTCCTCTGCTCTTCTCTAATTTGATTGTTTTGCCTGGTGACCAATTCTTATTTTTGATTACCAGTATCATTAATTATATATCAGTGTTTTAATATTTATTATTCATTTTATGTTTATAAGAATTGCCTTAATGTTATACTTATTACATATACTAGGTATATGTAAAATTGGCAAATGGGTTAAAAGAGAAGTATAGGAACTGCTTTATGTAGAAAATGACTTCTTAAGTTTTACCTTATGTAAATATTCCTAAGAAGGATTGTTTATTTGAAATGTTAGTTTGTGCTTTAATTTTGCATGTACTTGACTGGTTCCACATTTAAGTGTTTAGAAATTAGGGGGAACATAGCTCTTTGTGTGAACAAAGGGTTCAGAAATACCTTAGGTTCTGATTGTGTTCATTTTCTAGGCTGCTTATTAACAAATTACTACCAATTTAGCTGCTTAAAGCCACACACATTATCTCACAGTTTCTGTGAGTCAAGAGGCTTGGCGCAGCTTAGCTGTTAGCTGGGTCCGCTGCAAGATGGCAATCAAGGTGTTGGTTACGACTGGGTTGTTATGTAGAGACTCAAATGGGGAAGGGTTTGTTCCCAGACTTTCTCAGGTTATTGGCAGAATTCATTTCCTCATGATTAGGTTTATAGCAGCTTGTTTCTTCAAAGCCAGCAAAGGAGAGAGACTTGGGCTTGGCATTACATTTTATGTAATCATGATGTAATTGCATATAGTCCATTGCCTTTGCTGCATTTCATTGTTAGAAGCAAGTCATAGGTCCAGTTCACATTTAAGAGGAGGGAATTATGTAAAGATTTAAACACCAAGAAGTGGGAATCAAGAGTAGTCACCACATTGAATCTGTCTGCCTCATGGATTATAGATTTTTTTAAAAAAATTATTTCAGAATATT